GTTTAGTTTTACTATAAGTTTGCTGAAATTGGTGTTAAGATGATCCCAAATTTAATTTTGAAAAATTTTCACTAAGATATGCCTCAAGATTTGTGATTGATTAATGCGATCTTTTGGTGACATATGACTTATTAAGTTTATTTTTAATATTTTTGAAATTTACATGTCTTAGACGAATTCAAAATGCATTAAATGTGAAGTTTAGGATGTTACTATGTTGGCCATGGCCACCCAACCATCGCAACTTGTGACTCTCGCCCACCATTGCTATTAAACGCCTATCATTGTCAGCCACCTATCTCTAGTAGTCATCACTCACTTAAAACTACAAAGAACCTGCTGCCGATCACTCCAGCTGTCATGGATGGTGATTGTACATTCATTGAGTTTTATGTTAAATTAATTTTACTTAAAAAAAGATACAATACATTTTTTTACACTCAATCAAATATCTTTATAAAACATTTTAAATACATTACATATATATTTTTTTGCTTTGCTTCTCTATTTAAATTTTAAGCTTAGTATTACTAATATTATCTAGGGCTGTCAATTTCTGACACGACCCGCCAACCCGACCCGAACCCGACCCGAAAAATCCGGGTTTGGGTCAACCCGTGAACGAAACGGGTCGGATACGGGTTGAAGGATTTGACCCGTTTATAAATTCGGGTCGGGTTTGGGTCAACCCGTCAACCCGCGGGTCGACCCGATTAACCCGCTAACTCGTTTTATTAAAAACTTAAATCCCGAATCCGATCGCCTCATCTCATTCTCATCGCTATTCGCCTCGCCTGTTCCGCTATTCGAGAGGGTTCTAGGGTTTCTCCTCGCTCTCAACCTCTCGCGCTCTGGGGTGGAGCCGTAAAAACGACGAATCGTTGAGTAGCTGATGAAGTTTTCTTGATATCTTCTTCTGATCTTCTGAGTTCTGAAGCATCTGGCATTCTGGTTCGGTTTAGGGTTTTTCGTCCTTGAATCCTCTTCCTTTCTCCATTTTCTCAGTTGCGACTTGCAACGGTTGGTAATATCTTGAATAACTCTTAAATCTTAATTATTTGTAGTGTTGCTGTGTTGGTTTGAATGTTTGATACTTTGATGGTGGTTTGATAATTTGATGGCTTCGGTTTAGGGTTTTTTTTGGATAAGTTCTTCTTCTTCCTTTAGTTCCTTATGAGTTATGAGTATCAGAGTATGAGTGTATTACTCTATCACTCTATGTGGCATTGTGGCTATGTGCCATGGTCGACTAATCTAGTTTTCTGGAATCTGGAGTATGGGCCGTATGGCAGTATGCTGCAGCTGCACATTTTCTTGCTAAAAATTTCTGCTTCTTTCTTCTCTTATAGTTATACTGTTAGTTAGAGTTTCGTTTAGTGATTTACTATTACAGTTTATCAATTTTGTTGATGTTGTGATTATGGCTCTCTTTGGCCTTTGCTGTTGAGATTACGGGTATGTCTTAATGTCTGTTACTCTGTTTATAGTTGTTGCTTGGGTCTCATGGAATTATCGGGTTGCTTGCTCTCCTATTTATTGAATCCGAAATAAAATGCTTTAAGTATCAAATCGCCTTATAATTCTTCAATATGCCTGTATCGGTGGTTGAAAGTACATATTTGCTTTTATGCTTGTAGTTATGAGAATAATAGGTATAGTATGATGCGCTTGCATTGCAGTGCTGTCTATGTCTTGATGAATAGTTACAATTGCTTGATGTTATGTTAGTTTAATTTTTTGTGTTTTTATGTCAGGATTCAATATCAATTGTTATGTAGTAATTCCTTCTGAGCATATTGAAATAAATGAACATGTGCTATTGTTTCTGATTGATAATGAATGGAATGTGATAGTTGATGAGTGAACACAACCCATTCCCAACTGAGGGCAAGTTTCCATAGCAAAACGACAGAGCGAAGTTGACTTCACAGTATTGGCGCACGACTACATGACTTTATTGAAATGTTTGCATTGCAGACGATGGCAAAAAACGTTGCAAAATGTAAGAATTTGTGGTGGCTAAATATACTATGTGATAGTAAAAATGTACATGAAAATTTAAAACCCACTTGCAAACTGTAAGAAAAAGTCTCAAGATATTGGTCAACTTTATCTTTCAAAGTAAATCAAGCACTTCTTTGTTCGATGATTTCAAATAAAATTTATGTTCTGAAGAATTTCGTTGCTTATATCTGGCATGTATGTTCCAGCTATGATTACCATTCAGTTGTGTGAGTGGGAAGGTTTAAGTATAACATTACTATCGTAATTATTAGCACACCTATTTCTACGAATCACTAATCTCAATTTCTGGATCTAAGTACACTACTGCTAAATCTTTATTTTCCATATTCTCTATGCATAGCCACAATTGAAGTTATGAATTCTTTGATGGCTCAGGATTAATATAAAAAAATGACATTTGGCATTGATTCGCAAATTGAAGAAGTATTAGTCAGAAAATTCAGTTGTAATTTAGCATTGACTGTAATTCTTGACCCAGAATACTATAATTTTTAACTTGTCGAGTGGTGTACAAAGAAATTGTATGTGGGGAGTACTAACTGATGCCGAGTTGAGAAGGTTCCAGGCAAAGCTGGAAAATTTGATTTCTTGCTACCGCAACAAACCAATGAGGAAATCTTTAACCCAGAATCACAAACATCCCAACCATTAACACAAAAGACCTTCTTCCAATTTCATACTTCATATAACAATCCAAATCACAATCCTTTCAGTATATTTGTTTTCCATTATAATTTTGTCAATTCTTCACGTTTAAAATTTAGTCACAGTCTTCATTTTTTGCGTCCATACCTCTCACAAGGAATTACGCATTCTTTTCAAGTTACGAAGTACACCACAGCCTAAAAACATCAGAGCCGAAAGTTACTTGGATGATCCTAGAAGATAATATGGAATTCCTGAGTTATGATATTTTACTATTGGAAATTAAACCAGTTCAGGTTTCCTCAAGTCGCAAGAATGCTGCGTGATGTTTTGTTATACGATTTCCACTGTGGCATCTGAAAGTACTTTTAGCAAATAGTGGGTCGAAGTTCTCGACCACAATATCGAAGTGCCATTGAAAACATAGATATTGTGGAGCTTTGGTATGCACAAAAGATTGTTGTTTGTGATGAAAGGAACAGTTATTATTTATTGAATTTAGTGTATGAGTGTATAAAAAGGTAACAAATTCATATGCATTATTGCTGCTTTGTAAGTAGAATCCAAAGATCCCAGAGCTTGAGCCGCCTGACCCGCGACTGCATCCACTAACCCATGGATTAAATTTCGACGCAACTCAAACGATCAACACTCAAAGACTCAGTGAATAAGCATCTTAATTCTATTCTTATTTATGCACTGCTTTATGTTCACAGTTCACTGCTTAGTGCTTATAAAGTTTATTTTATGCTTGAATCTGGTTGCCTTTCGGTGCTGCTTTGGCACTTTGGCTCGTGCTGGTGGCTGAATGCTGGAGCCTGGAGATACCGAGATAGAACTTAAAGTCTGAAACTGGTGGCTGTTAATCCTGCTGCATAATGTTAATGGGTTTAATTTCGAGTTATAACTGCTGGTGACTGTTATTTATGCTAATCCTGCTGCAGTTAATCCTGTTTTGTTGCTCTGAGCTGAAGTGTCTGAACTGTAATTTGGTATTACTGCTTCATGTTTAATCTTTGTTTTGTTGCTCTGAGCTGAACTGGTGGATTTTATTGCTCTGAGCTGAACTGATGGATTTGGGTATTACTGATTCATGTTAATTTCATGTTAATTTTCTGTCATGGTTAGTCTGAACTGGTATTGGATTTTGTTGCTCTTGAGCTGAGCTGAACTAATCTTCTGTTTTGGAATTTGGGTATTGGAATCTGATTATCTGAGGCTATGAGCTGTTTGAACTTTTGAATTTTGGTTTGAGCATATTGTATTATTGCAGCTGCTTAGGCCTATTGTTTTGGTTTGACCGTTTGAGAATATTGCAGCTGCTTAACCCGAATTGATAGGCTATGACCTGCAGCAGCTGCAGCTTGCAGATGCTTAGGCCTACAGTTTGAATGGCTGAATGCTGATGTTTATAAATTATAAGGCGATGATGAAGAACTTGGTGAAGTTATGCATTAGTTGCGACACAGTTAAATGCAACCGAGTTATAAATTGGTTTGGTTTGAGCAGATATTATTTAATTGAATAGAGAATTACCAATTTGTAACTTTGGATGGCATTTTTCCTGTTCTAGTTGCATATGATGTTTCTTTGCTAGGTTCATCCTGAGCCTACGGCCCTAATAAGCCAATATTTGTTTATTCTTTTGTTTTGCAGGCTTGCAGAGTTGCAGGTTCATTAAAGGGTGAAAGACAAAAATGAGCTCGTCACTCACCACTCCGGCTGTTCTACTGTTCTAGACTTCTAGTTGTAGTTAATTTTATTGTAACTTGTAAATTGTAATCTTGTATTAAAAAAAAAAATCTTGTATTGTAAGTTGTAACTTGACATTTGTCAATTATTAACTTGTAATCTTTTATTTTATTATAAGTGTAACCCGATAATCTTGTATTCAAAAAATGATGTAAATATGTAATCTTATGTTATTTATAATTGGCTTATTGCTCTATGCATTTTTTTCCTTTAAAAGCAAAAAAATATATATACATATATAAAACAAATTATCGGGTTGTCGGGTCGGGTTAACCCGGCAACCTGTGTAAAAATGAGGATTATTCGGGTAAACGGGTCGTGTCGGGTCAACCCGTAACCCACTCGGGTTGGGTCCGGATTGGAATGTTTAACCCGTTTGAGAAAACGGGTCGGGTTTGGGTTGACCAGTTTAAATTTGGGTCGGGTCGGATTCGACCCGAACCCGACGGGTTGACCCGAATTGACAGCCCTAATATTATCACTTAAAATCTCATCCATGATTTTTTTTCTTCTTCAGACCGTTCATTGATCAACCGAACCCTTAGCCGTCCGATCGATCTAAGCTACCTGCGCCCTTATATCTTGTCCGCACTCACTCGTCATTAGGGTTTCTATATATATTTCTAAAAAGGCGAAATCGTCCCGCCGCCGCTCTCAGATTGCACCTCGAAGCTTGCCGTTCTCGGTTCGTATCTTCATTAGGGCCCTTCATTAGCCATGGCGGAGCAGGTAGTTTCTTTTTCCTCTTGCCACTCGTTGTGCTATTTGCTTCGAATGTTTTGATCAAGTTGATTTGATTAAGGAAAATATTGTCGTGTAATACGCTGTATTAGAGCTTCAGTTCGTTAACTGGCGATACTAAATTTGTAGTCCTGCTTTTTTGATAGAATTATTTTTCACTAGGGTGAATTTGCTTTTGGCCACGTTCTTACGCATATTTTATGCTATTTTCTTTTCGGGCTTATTGGATTCACATTGAATTCCATTCAGTTTATGTATTTTCTTCTGAAGTAGTTGGTGCTCATCATATTCTCTGTGTTGCAGAAGAAAATTTCGAACTTTTTACTAGCCTTGGTTATAAATCTTTTATACGTCCATCTACAATGATGAAGGATATATTTGAAACGTCTTTAGGTTTTCATTTATATTAGATCTTATGCATATTTTGCAAAGATATTGGGATCTATTGAATCTCCATTGAAGTGGTTAACTTTATAATTGTACAGACTGAGAGGGCCTTCCTCAAGCAACCGAAAGTGTTCTTAAGGTAAGAACGTGGGCGCAATCATTTCATCTCTTTTTATTTCTGTTTTGATTGCTAATCTAACCAGGTCAAGGATGGTGCAGTTCAAAAAAGCCTGTAAAGGGTAATAGGCCTGGGAAGGGTGGGAATCGATTTTGGAAGAATATTGGTCTTGGCTTCAAGACACCTAGGGAGGCCATTGAAGGTATGAACTCTGAAGCTTGAGCCATGCTTTGAACATTATTTTGACAAAAATCATAATAAGTACGCATCCCGGTCTGCAAAAATGAGAGTAGTTTTACACTCCCCTAACAAAATTCCAAAATATTTTGAATTTAATAGATTTGTGTGTCTTTGCTTATGTGGCTGAGCACATGAAGTATATAAAAATGGTAAAATTACGTACATGCTGGCCTAAGAGCATCTCCAAGGGAACGACAAACAACTGTTTGCCATTCTTCTGTCGTTCCAACCGAGCGGCAATTCTTACGCCATTTCATCGTGGATGAACAATGCAACGCCAATCTGCGACATTTTTTGGCCTCTACCGAACTTGCCGAAGAAACGCGCGAAAGAAGAGAACGACCGTTACAGGGCAAAAATGGAGTTCGATTGGAGATGAATCACAATATTTTTAAGTTTCATGGCATTTTGGAGTGAAAAAGGAGATTTTCGGTTGGAGATGCCCTAAGTGCATCAAGGAAATTTGTTTAAGTTAGGTTTATTTGGGGAGTTTAGCTTTATTCTTATGGCTAAGCTTCTGAGATTTAGGAAATTTATATGTCAGAATAATTCCCTATACTTTTCTTTTTTGTGGTAAAGGACAACATTCCTTTACTTATAATGAAGTTTTCATATTTTATAAACAACGACTCTTAAAAATCTAATCATCAATGAATTATATTGTTTATTTAGTTTTTCTTCTCCAAAAATTAGTTCTCTATTGGTAATCTTGACTAGCATGTGGCCTTAACCTCTAGCACCGCCGCCTTCATGAGACTTGCTAGCTTTCCATGGGATATGGGATTGATGGGAGGGATCCTGCACCATTCATTATTTGGCTAACAATGATAACTAATAAACCAAGAAGATTCATGATTGACCTGATCCACCCTATGTACAATGCTTAGGTTGAATCAAATCCACGTTTAAGTTTTTTGTATTTCTCAGCTGGACATTATAATAGAACATTTTCAATAGAATACTATTGTTATCCCGAATCTTATTAGAATACTAAGAGTTTACATAAGACTAGCAGAATGACAAGTTTTCATGAAACATTGATTGCTGAAATACCAAGTTACTTGTAATATTGATAGAAAATTTAGGCAAAATATTTGGGTTTGGTGGGAACTAAGTACTTTGCTTGAAAGTTTTATACGGGTTTATTGCAATTTTAGTATTTTACTAACATTTGATGAAAGTTCAATACAATAGAGTTGGGCTAAAACCTTGGTATAAATAGCAGGGTTGGGTGCAATCTTGCATTAGAACATGCTTGATAGAATCTTTGATTAGTGCTAGGGTTTAGTGCAACCTTGGAATTCTATATGTTTCAGATCAAACATTGAGATGGGACTTGAGCAAAACAACTTTTTAAATGAACTGAGGATCTTGGTGACACTCCGGGATTTAGGTGGGATAGATTCTGCCGATGAAATCATGCTAACATTTTTTTCATTTAAACTTGCATATGCATATGATATTTTTTCTTCTTTTCCTGTCCATGATCAAAGATTTAACACTCTTTTTTGCTTTGCCAATCCCGGTCAATTTATGAAAGAATCCTGTCTCAAGACTTCAACCTGACCCAACCCAATCCTAAGTCGCATGGATCTAGGGACCTATTCTTTATTGATCTTAAGTCTTTGTAGAAGCCCTATGACTAATCATTTTTTGGCATTCAAAAGGGGTATGGGTGTAGAGAGTGAAAGAATGAACAATCAAGGTGCTAATTATATCAATTATCAAACAATATGATCTATAATTTTACTAATTTCTAAAAAATAAAACATTATTGATTTTTGTGTATTAAAGTTTGAGTGGAAGAATTTGTGGCCCAGTGTTTGGAGGAAAAGATTATTTATCAGAAGTGATGGGCTCGAGCCATATACTTTGTAATTTATCTCTTAAAACTTCCAAAAAATAATTTTATACTTTGAAGAATTTGTCCTTCCTTAATATTGGAATTAAAGATTGTAATTTTGTAGTTATATAAATAAATATGGCTAATATTTTTTTTTTAATTTATTAATACTTATATTAATTATAATTTGTATTTAAATAATATAATGTTTTTGACACTCAACCCAATACCATTTAAATTTGTTATGGTGAAGAGCAGACAAAGGTTATAATAATTGCAAGTGATTCAACATAACTTTACCTTATTGTGGTGAAAGATGGACATGGTTTGAGTGTGTGTAAATATAAGATTAAGCTTGCCACATGAATTCCGAGGACTTTTAATGGGAAGGCATGAAAAATGGTGTACTATAATTAAAAGAGAGAATTATTTTTTGTTTGTAAGAAACTAAATGTAAAGAAAAAAATCCAAGGCATTGGTGAAGCTTATTGGTTATTGTATGTTGGAAATGTTAGCAATAGAAATGTTATGAATAAAAATGAAGAGTGTTATAATATGTATTTTTTTAGGTTAATAAGGTTGGTGATATGTTGATTGCTATAAAGCTAAATAATTGTGAGTGCCTCATAAGTGTTTGTGTTCCTCAGGTTGGTTTAGAATGTGGTGCAAAAATTTTTTTTGAGAAGAGATGGTTGAATTATTATATTTTATACTTGACTAAGAGGGGATAAGTATTGAGGGGTTGTTGAGGCGGCTTGCATGAATTTATAGGTTATAATAAGATAGGGTTATTAGAGCATTTGTGGTGCGGATGGAATAGGTGGAAATGCAATGAGTGAAATCATGTTTGATTTTGTAGTAATCTATAATCTTATAACAATGACATACTTTAAGAAATGAGGAGTGAACTTAGTTACTTTTGAAGGTTGGGTAACCTAATAGATTGTTTTTTATATCATAGAAGGGAAAAATCATTTTGTAAAGCTTGTATGGTGATTCTGAGAGAAAGTTTGATCACACAATATGGACCAATAGTTATGCATGCATATCTTGGGAATGTCAAGAATTTGATTAAAAGGGTATATGATATTGAAATTGTATAGGTGTGAAGTTATAACTTTTTCAAGATAGCTTGCTAAGTGATGTTAATTTAGATGAATCTAATTTATGAGTCCTAAATGATGTTATGAGAGAGCAATGGAACATACACTTAGAGAAATTATGATGGTGTGATAGAATCAATTTGGTTACATGCTAGGAAGATTCATTGTCTAAGCAATTTTTGTGGCAAAGCAATTAATGGAATAGTATCTAGAGCAAAGAAAGGAACATCTTATGGTTGTTTTTATTAATGAATCTTAATAAGAGTTGTGATTTAGCAACACAAAAATTGATTTCATGTCTATTATGGAAAAAAGTTGTGTGAAGATTATGTTGAAGCTATTACAGTGATGTATGGTTGTGCGTTGACTAGTATTAATTGTTATGGATTAATTGAATACCTTTCAAATTACAAAATGATCACATCAATGATTGCTATTTTTTGTGTCTTGGTTGTCTAGATATGTTAATGAAGTATACTCTAAATGAGTTGCTATGTCAATTGAAATTAAGTGAAAAATTAGGATAATGGGGGCTGAGGATTATTTATAGAACAAATATCAATTATTAGATATGAACTTAATTTTTTGTGATATCAACTATTATTAATTGATATTGTTAGAAGATAAAGTGATACTTAGATGTCATAGTTATGATGCACACACACGGACACGGCGACACGGATACGACACGACACGGACACGAGACACGTCAATTATTTAAAATATATGACACAAACACAGGTTGAACACGATATTATTATTTTTATATTTTAAAAATAGTGTATAAAAATTAAATATGTTTAATTTAAAAAAATAGAAATAATAAGTCATTTAACTAGAATTTGTGCTTAAAATGATTAGTATTATTAGAATATCGAGAGTCAGACGTCGATGCCGTTTATCAGTCACCTAGAGAGGAGATGAAAATACCTTCACTGTCAAAGAGAAATGAAAATGAGAATATTCAATGAATGGGTGTTAAATGCGGACGTTGATTTGGTGTTGTGGGTAGGAAATAAAAAATTTAGTTTAAATCTCGACAAATAAAAGAAATTATATTTTTAAAAAATAAAAAAATATTTAAGATACGATCGTTGGACACGCGTGTCTAATTTGTATTTAATATATTTTTTAATCAGACACATTTTCAGCATGTCCGACACGTGTCAGAGGAGTGTCGAACAAGTGTCGTGTCGGACACTGCATGTCTCTTTGAGGAGAAGTGTTGGTGCATCATAGTGTCAGAGGCTAACATCTTTGATTTGTTATAAAGAAAAATGAGGATATATATTTTGGATTTGAAACTAAGTTGTTAAAATGGAGGTTTGCATTATAAGTATTATCTGATAAGAGAATATCACATAGACTTGATTTTAACATTATATTATTATTTTTACCTTTTTAATACTTTTTTATTATGCTTATGATACAATTTGAAATGCAACAGATATTTGAAACTCAATCTAAAATGTATTATAGAGAGTAAAAACTAAAAATAGTCCCCCGACTATTGATAAATGTCCAATTTAGTTCTAGAGTTTCACATTGCCCTATTTTAGCCCCTCAAGTATTAGAAATTGAGCTAATTTAGTCCCGGAGCCTAAAGTAAGAGTTAAAGTTAACTCTAGTCTGAAGGGTACTTTAGGTATTACAAGAGAAATTGAGATTGCATTGCTTTATTTTATCATTTAATAAATTATAGTATATAATTAATCTAGTACATAATAAGGGTGAAAAGTAGTGAAAGTTAATTTTATATTTTTCTAAAGCAAAATTTAACATTGCTCTTTTTGAAAATAAACAATATTATTTTACCCCATTACTGCTCGACCTTGTAGGTTTATAAAGTGATACTTAGATGTCATAGCTATGATGCACAAACGCGGACACGACGACACGGATACGACACGACACGGACATGATACACGTCAATTATTAAAAATATATGACACAAACACAGGTTAGACACGATATTATGGATGCTCTCACTAGACATCTGCAAGAGGATGTACCTTGGTGTATGCTTTTTGCTGATGATATTATTCTTGTTAATAAGACTAGAGAGGGAGTTGAAAGTAAACTTGAATTATGGAGGTCAACATTAGAGACTAAAGGTTTTCGCTTGAGTAGATCTAAAACAGAATATATGGAGTGTAAATTTAGTAGCAATAGACCTAGTGATGAGGGGATTGTGCCTTTGGGCGATCAAGTCATTAATAAGAGTACATGTTTTAGATATCTTGGATTTATTGTTCAGAGTGATGGTGAAATTGATGAGGATATTATCAACAGAATTCAAGTTGGATGGTTGAAGTGGAGGAATGCATCAGGCTTGTTGTGTGATAGAAAAGTACCCCTCAAACTTAAGGGAAAATTCTATAAGATGGTAGTGAGGCCTGCAATGCTTTATGGTGCTGAATGTTGGCCATTAAAAGAGAAGCATAATACTAAGTTAAGTGTGACAGAGATGAGGATGCTCAGGTGGATGAGTGGCTTTACCCTTAGAGATAGGATAAGAAATGAGCATATACGTGAAAAGGTTGGAGTAGCTCCAGTAGAAGATAAGATTAGAGAGAGTCGCCTTAGATGGTTTGGTCACATAAAACGGCGGCCTTCTAATGACCCGGTTAGGAGAGTAGAGGTATTAGATTTGACTTATGTTAAGAAGGGTAGAGGCATACCTAAAAAGACTTGGTTAAAAAATATTAGGAATGACCTTTCTTTATTAGATTTAAACGAGAATTTGACCTTTAATAGGACACAATGGAGAAAAAGGATTCATGTAGCCGACCCCACGTAGTGGGATAAAGGCTTGATGTTGTTGTACTGCTCGACCTTGTAGGTATGAATTATTGTCTTACTATCCAAGGCCAATATTAGATGTACATTTTTCTGTGATAAAAATGAGTTTACATTTTGTTTTAATGATGTTATAACTAGTTGACTGCGAACTGTGAGATTAGCCCTTGTTGCTTTCCTTCACCTTTACAACAAATACATTGTTTAGTCTGATTTGGGAAGTTATTATCTGAGAAATGGTGGTACTTGTGCAGATTATCTTTTATTTCGACATATATACTTTATATGTTCGATCATTTTATGATATATCAGGATTGATGTGATATTATGTGTGTAAATTTCTGGTTTTTGGTAGTTTTAATGTTGAAGAGATTATTGTAAACTTTAAATAAGTTTAACTAGTGATATCCTCAAAAGGTTAATCTTATGGATTATTTACATCTGTTCTGTATGCTTAATATTAATGTACATTTATCCTGAATACTATTTTTTCCCTGGATCCTCATTATTCAAATGGTTGTATTATTTCTATTATAAATATTTTTTGTGCTAATTCAAATTTCATGCCTTTTTTTCATGCCGTATGGTCAGAAGCATTAGGATTTTATTGTAAAAAAAAGAAGAGTTTATTGTAGTTCATTTTCTTGTATTTCAATTTTTTTGTTGTTTGGTTTGAGGCAAGTAAAATATAAGGTAAAATTTTACGAGATTTGAGATGCACCAAAACATCTAATTTTCCTACATTCGAAAATCATTCAGGCTGCGTTTGGAATGGCTTTCTTACTTCTTCTTAAAGCAACTTTCAAGTACAAAAATTTTAATTTTTGTTCTAAAGAGTTATTTTAAGAAGCAATAATAAAGCCGTCCCAAACGAAGCCTCAAATCAATCGTTTTTCAAATCCCACATTGCCTTAATTCCTTCACCACATGCCATCACTCATGCATTTTCGTTGCATCACCTTCGCATCCTGGTTGCCCGCTCACATTGCCTCCTCCTACTCAGCCCGTCAATCCCTTCTATTACTACTCTACAGATTTGAGATGATACAGAGAATATTTGAAATGTATAGTAACAAAACTATTTCAATGCATTTCATTTTCATCCAATAGAATAACCCTTTTATTCCTAAAGTATATTAATTTCAATCACGTATTTTAAAATCATCTAATCCCTGAACATTTTCCTTAAATGTTATCTTCTCCACCCTAAAACAACTATTTTTCCCGTTTGTCAAATTATTTCCAGCACATTTTGACTTGGATTCCTGTTCGAACCACATAATTCCTTGCAAATATTACTTGCCCTCTTGTTTGCAGGGACCTACATTGACAAGAAATGCCCATTTACTGGTACTGTCTCTATAAGAGGTCGCATCTTAGCAGGCACATGCCACAGTGCTAAGATGAATAGGACAATCATTGTTCGTCGGAACTACCTTCACTATGTGAAGAAGTATCAGCGGTACATAGAAGAGGAAGCTAATCATCATTTTCTCTTCTTATATACATATATTCTTCCAATTGTGAAATGTCTAAACTGCCGCCCCTCTTTCAGGTACGAGAAAAGACACTCCAACATTGCTGCACATATTTCACCATGCTTCCGTGTGAAGGAAGGTGATCACGTTATCATTGGACAATGCAGGTAGAACCTCATTCAGTATTCCTTCATATCATTATATGCATTGTCTAGGGGTGTCAATATTTGACACGACTCGAAAATCTGGCCAAAAATTTCTGGATTAGGGCAAACCCCCCCCGGACCCGAAACATATCAGGTTTAACCAATTGACCCGTTTCAAAAATCAGGTCGGGTTTACCCGGAAACTGACTCTGCCCGCGTAGCCGTTGCTCTGGTCTGCCCGTCGTAGCCTGCTGCATAGCCGCTGCCGCCATAAGCGTCATCTGCCCTCGTTGCCGCTGCCCGAGCGCGTCGTCTACCGGGTAGTCGCTGCCCGCACACGTCGTTTGGCCGAAATGTTGCCAGTTGCCAGGCAGAAATCGAGTAACTGCCGCATAGCCGCTGCTCGTTAAATTTTTGACTCAAAAGCGGGATTTGGCTGAATAAAGGCATAGAGTTACTGGATTTCCCGAAACAGGTCGGTCGAGTTGACCCGAATCCGAAGTGGGTCGGTTCGGATCTAGAAAACCAATCTATTTTAAAAAACGGGTTGGGTTATGATTGACCCGAATAATGCTATGTTAGTTTCGGGCTCGACCTAAACCCGACTCGTAACCCGAAATTGACACCCCTAGCATTGTCCTTTGAATTGCATCTCATATCTTTGTTTTTATTTTTGTGCATAAACTGATTGATGGATTAGTTGATTGCATGAACTAACTCTTACTAATTGGAATTATATATTACATTTGTGATTCAGGCCATTGGCAAAGACTGTGCGGTTCAATGTGCTGAAAGTTATCCCAGCTGGGTCTAGCGGTGGCTCCAAAGGAAAGAAAGCATTTGCTGCAGCTTGAGGTTGTCTCCAGTATTCTGAAGCATCACTCAGTAGTTGGAAGATCATGCTAGTTTTGTGTTTAGCTTTAAGTGCATCATTACAGTACTCTTTTCTTAAGACTGTGATCGGATTTTGAGGCTTCTAATTAAAACTGAAGTGTTAAAAACATCTGAACTATTTCATTTTAATTTTTTTAGCAATTTGATCTTTCTTTTTTGTTTCATTTTGCAGTTCATGGCTCTTTTTATGCTATTTTTAAATGAAATTTTTTATTTTTTATCCATTTTTTGGCTAAAGCAAGGTTACAGGATATCAGTAAAGAGGCTCTATATGGTGAAAAAGTATTAGGTCCGGACACCTGACGTAGCTCTACATCCAGACGCCAATAACATGTCGCCATGTGCTCTTACTCTTTACTGCGTGGCCCGACGACCCGGATCCGGTATTGCTATGTATTGGCTTATTTGTGCAAACCGGGGTATTGCTCGGTATTACTCGGCAATAACAAGATACCAATCTGTCAAGATCAATACTAGCAATAATTAGCAATACCCCGATTTTGCTAGGTATTACTCGGTATTGGTCTTTACAGAGCGGTATTTCTCGTTATTGCTAAGCAATATCTAGTAATACCGAACAATATCTAGTAATACCGAGCAATACCTAGCAATATCCGAACATAGCAATACCGGGTTCCGGTCTGAGTCCGGTCGTCGGGTCGCAAGGTAAAGAGTAAGAGCACGTGGCGACATGTTATTGGTGTCCGGATGTAGAGCTACGTCATGTGTCCGGACCTAATAATTATTCCTTATGGGGGGTTATATATATACCATTTAATTCTACATTCATTTTTGTACACCAATTGATATCCTAAAAAATAGTTATTCTTCATTTTAACTTCATCACATTGGAATACATTTTTCATTTTTGGGTAGAAAAATGTTTTTACAGATTTTTTATTTTAATTTTTGCTTCTTTTATAAGAAATGGTATATTACTGAAGTGTTAATTCAATATAATAATTTGAAGTAGATAATATTTAAATTTAAAATTTGATTATGATTTTAAATTCTTAATTTAGTTTAATTCGTAGTTTTGTCTGTGGACGATGATGACGTTGTGACATTCATGCTAGATTGGCTTGTTTTATTTATTTATTTATTTAAGGAAGAAAGTACTAATTTAAAGGAAATTTTTATATATTTCTATAGCTAATTCTAAATTTTAATAATTTTTTTATAAATTATTTAATATTTAAATAATATCACAATATATGTATTATTGAATATATTTTAATTAAAATAAAATAATATTAATGTATTTTTTTGTAATTTAATTTATGTAATTTAAAGTTTTGTGTATTGTATAAATAAATATTAAAATTTAACTGTTGGATATGTCAATAAAAAAAAATTAGAATGTCCATCAGAATTTTTTTTTTCTATATGCTTTTGTATTAATGCTAAAATATCAAATATCTTTTATGACATAATTTATCCATTGTTTTTTTTTTTAAAAAAAAATATTATCCATTGATTGAACTCTGATAGAAGCAAAGTGGCTTTTCTAAAATTAGCAAGGCCGAGATTGTGTTTTTGTAGGTTATTTGCATTTTGACAGCGATGTTCAAAGATTTTCGAAAAGTGCTTATATTTTTAATATTGAATGCCAAAATTTATAAATAAAATATCAATGTAGTGCAAGAATGTGAATTATTTAGTATAATTTTCAGGCTGGGCTTGAGTGTGATGTTGTTGGGCTCATGTGAGGGGAGAGGGACCACACCTTACCATTTAGACTAAGCCAAAGGGTTGGGCTTGGTTAAAGAGCTGCTTATGAGAGTTTTAGAGTTGATTTAAGTGTTTTAAGATAGGAAAATTTGGGGGAATGAGAGGGTTAATGGGGTTTGCTCATTTTGATCCATTTGACCTATTTCCACTCATTTTGAGCTTCCATTGAATTGTTGACTAGTCGATTGTGACTGGGATGGAGGTTACGAAGGTCATGCATGGTGTAGAGAGAGACTCCAAGGGGTTTGGGCCCAATGGTTGGGAGTTTGGATGGGTATTTAGCTACATGCATGGATTTGACCCCTAATGATGGATTAACTAAGTCAAATTAATGATGGTTTGACTTAAGAAAATGTTGGAGATAATGGGACATGCAATCAAATGATTTTGAGGATTTGAATTGGATTGACAATTCTTGAAGCATTTGATTCAAATTTGGTTGGGTGTATGGTTGATTTTAGTCAACTATAGTTGACTTTGTCAATCAGATGAAACCATGGGTTGGGGTTTGGTTCAATAAGTTTGAAATGATATTTTGAACCCAATGAAAGCAGTCCCATGAAATGGTGAAGTCTCTTTACATGAAATACATGTTTGGGCCTTTTAGGGGCACTTTGGTCAACCATGGTTGATCTAGTCAATCAGGTCAAACCAAGACTTGGGTTTTGATTCAATACACTATAAATTATATGTATAATGCATTGGAAGAGGTTTCAAAGATTGATTAGAATAAGTAATGGTGAGGTTTAAGGGAAAAATCTATTTTCCCTTAAGGATTTTGGGGTTTAGTGGGCCCATGGTCAACTATAGTCAATCAGGATCCAATAAAACGCAGTTTTGTGTTTAACATGTCATAACAAGAGTTATGGAAATGCTTAAAGGTTTTGGGAAAGTTTCGAGGCCAAATTTTATAAAGTGCATGGTCCAGTGACATGGGCTGTAAATATTTAAAGGTTTACAACATCTGAATATCAATTCAGTTTCAAGGGTTATAGGGCTTAGATTGGCCTCAAAATTGGAGGGATGACCCTATAGACATGCCTAATCAATATGCAATTGACTGATCATGAATTATAGGTCATTTGGTTTGATTTTGAGGAATTAAAAAAAGCACCAAAAAAGGTTATAGGACATGGGCTTTGGGCCTTGATTTTCTATTTGAAGTTTTTGATTTGGTTTTAAATTTGGAAATGATTTTTTAGCTAACCTCACATGAAATGAGGTCAAAAGCTCGATGATGAGGAAAATTACGGCAGCCGAAGGACTGATGAGTGTCAGGTTGGGCTGCTAAGATGTTGTGGATCAACGGTTAGAGGTGGGATCAAGTTGTGTTGGAGTGCTCGGGTATTGGGGGAAACTCAAATGCTAGCTCAATTCGAACATACGTGTGATTGACGGAGGTGAGGGGTTCCATTCGGGTTGATTCAAGCAAGAGGAGAGGCGGAGGCAAGGGAGCTTCAGCCTTCCAAGAGCATGTGAAATAGGGAGATATGAGGAAGGCTTTGACCTCTTAGATCGAACAGGGGCTCCTGTCTTCTTCCAAGGTGTGCGATCCACAGAGGAGTAGCAGATCAAGAGGAGAGTAAGGGTTCGGCTCGACTTTGTTCTAGCAAGAGAAGGAGGAGAAGCTGAGGAGCATGTGAATGAGACTGAACCCCCTTTCATCCATTTGATTGGAGCTTTTCTTCCTTCAAATCTCAAGGACTCTAGCTCAGTTCCACATGAGAAGAGGCACAAGCAGGGACCTAGGCATGCCCGGTCCTTCTAAAGTCATATGAATCCTCTCGGAAATAAGAAAGTCACGCGACTGGGTTACTGAAACATGGCAAAAATGGACTATGGAAAAAATAAGAGCTGTTGATGGGATTTTTGATTAAAGAACATGTTCAAATTCATTAGAAAGTTAATCAAACTAATTATTTAACCAATTGAACTGATTTGGTTCATATTTGAGCTTGAATTAGCCTCAATTAGGTTATGTTCGAGTCGATTTGAGTTCAATTGTTTCGTATATATATATATATATATATATATATATATATATATATATATATATATATATTATGGGAATAACTATCAGTTATATATTATTTGCTTGGAAAATTCATTAGAGGGATATTAAAACCACTAATATTCTTATTAAAACGGAATTAGTTCCAACGACACATGTTCTCTTTGTTCTCACTGCAAAGAAAGTCATATTCATCTTTTCTTTAATTGCTTGATATCTCTTCATATACTTAAATACTTTAGAGAGATTTATTTCACCTTGGCGATACTATGCAATAGATTCTCAATTACTCTAATAATACTTCTTACAAGTTTAGTATAAATTTGTTCTTATTGGCTATGTGTATCATTGTTTATTATATTTGGCAACAAAGAAATAATCGTATTTTTAGAAATAAGACCTTGAATGATAATATAATCACTGAAAGAATTACATTTATTGTTATATTAAAATTTAAAAAGCAGGAGAAAACATTATATATCTATTTTTCCATGACACTTACAACTTCTTTATTTCTCTTAATGGATACTAGACTATTTATGTTTATATTTTGCTATGGCACTTATAGTAGGAGAAGGCATTCTATAAGCAAGAGGTGCGGCTTTATAGCATCAAAATTCATTAGGAAATGATCCATGCATACTCATATCTTGTTATTGCCATCTTTTTTGTTACGCCAACTAAATTTTGGTCCAAAAAAACTCATATCATGGAGGTCATTGATTATTGTAAATTAACCCATTTCTTAAACTCTAATAGAGTAACTAAATTTCTTCCCACCTTTTTTCCCATCCTGATAAAGACAACAATTGAAGTTCCCACCAATGATTGTTGGCATTTCACAATTCATGATAGTGTTGATCAAATGCCAAAAGCTAAGTCGAACTAGATATTCCTTATTAGCATAAATAATAACAATAGTGTATTTATGGGAATTAGGCAAATCAAGATAGCCAATCAAATACTCTTCAGTAGCTAATTTGACTTCAAATTGAGTGATATCCTGTCCCCACATAGCCATCAGACCGTAAGATTTGCCATTAACAAGATGATGGTAGAATTTCCATTTATTATCAATAATTGTATCAACATCTTGCATTTGAATTTCTTCAACCATTGTGTCAATCAATCCAACAAAACACACCTCATTGTTGTCAACAAGGTGACGCAAGTAGTTACTCGTCGCCTTCTTACTTGAAGGGGACACATCTCCGCTGTCCTATTCATCCACCGCCTCCTTGTTCCTTTTTAGGGAGCTAATCAATTGGCTCCAATTGTTGGAGCTCATATACAAAATGAGCCTTAAAGACCAATTCTTGTTATTTGTGTGTTTATCTTGTTTAATTATAGCTATAACTAAAATGGGTTGCGTAGCGCCAAGTCTAGCCTCTATCTTTGGTTGCTTGAATTTGCCTTTCAACATATCAATTGGTGGGTCGCTAATAATGCCCAAATTAACTTGCATAGGGGTCACCACCCCAAATTAGGATTCCATACCACTTAGTGCCATTGGTTGTGATCTATTTGCCCTTCTTCTAAGAGGGGCCACCAAAATCCATGTTTTGTATCAATTCTCATCATCATCGTGCTAAGTCAAATTCCCACCCTAGCCTCTATGTTGGCAGCTTTCAGATACTATCTTGTCATGGTTGTTTGTTTTGATCAACATAGTAAAAACCAAAAATACCGAATCATAGCATAATGACGCATTTCAACGCATCGCGATGAAAATATGCGAATTTTTAAACTTCTCAGAATGCAATGAAATAAATTTTTATAAAATTATATTTTAAATTTCAATCATTTTGATATAAAGAACTTAGGATTAATTTCAGTTGGATTGGGAACTACAAAGCGTCAAAGATTATTTAAGAGTAAACTACTAAATAACCCTTCCTAACCCTTAAGAGAACTTATGCATGCAAGGGTAAATGCGTAATTTGGCAAATCCCCTTCCCCCCATTGCCTAAATGGCCTCTTCGGTACCTTCATTTTGTTTGTTTGGCCAAACGTGAGAGAGGGAGAGAGAGCAGCGGGCAAGGCTCGAGTGGGCGATTTCTTGCGGTTAGGTTTGGGAGAAATTGAAGGAAATTTTTTAAAAAAGCTTAAGATATGTTTCTAAACCTATAATACTTTCTTTTTACTTAGATTTATCATGATAAAAAAAATCTATTTTTTCAAAACTTAGAAATTTTAAGAGAAAAATATTTAGGGACATTTAGGGAGATGTAATGGTAAGTTCTAAATACAAAATTTAATATTTCTTCTAAAATTTTAAGATTTCCAAAATTAGGACTTTTTTCAAAACTTAAAATTTCTAAAGTGCATTGACAAATGTTATTCCTAATAGCCTTAGAAATGTTTGTAATAGTAAAATTTAGGGCTTATCACAATTTTTCATTTTCTCTAATTTTAATTTAAGAACAATACGAAAATTTTTATGTATAATTATTAATTTAGGAAAGGGGAATGTTTTAACATAAATTGGTGATGAAAATAATGAAAATTTGGTTTCCAAATTTAAGGCTTTAGGGTAAAATCAAAAATCAAAATCATTTTTAATTTAATTAGGAAATTTGAATGAGCTAGAATGGGTAAAAATGTGGGATTTGACAAAAAAAATTAGGGTTTTGAAAAAAAATTAGGGTTTCTTTAAATCCAAAAATAATTACATTATAATTACAAAATAATAAATGGAAATGAATTAAGGATTAATGTTAGACAACTAATAATTAATGTTAATATTAATAACAATGAATTTAGTTTTGATCATATTATTAGAACCAAACATCTTATTCACATTACTCATCACCTGCTCTTGATGGCTACCCGTGGAAGAGCGAAGTACTAACCAAAGTGTAGTACCCTTGCTTTCTTAGAAGCACATTTTCTAACATGTACTGAAAGATCACCAACATAAGGTGTAATCATTTGGGTCACTCGAGAAGGGCATTACTAACTTTTATGACCAATTTTACTACAATTAAAACTTCAAAATGAAATCCTTTCATATTCCACCTTTTGAAAGAAAAACCTTTTAAGTCGTTTATCTATACCCATGTATGAAGTTTCTTAGCAAGATCCAACCGAACACAAACATGAGCAAAATCTCATCAACCCCAATCACCAGCCTGGGCATCAACCCATAAAGGCATTCCAAAACGTTCCTTAGATCCCATAATTGCAATGACAAATTAGGAGTCAAATCCACATCGACGAGGATAATCCTTCCATAAAAATTGGAGAGAAATTCGGTGTCCACCTGTGCCGAATAATATTCCTCCCAATGAACAATATTTCTCCACAGAGTACTACATCTGAAGGTTCCTTTGAATAAAAAACACAAGAAAAACAATCTTATCTAATGGAGGATAATTGAAACTAGCAAAAGCGTCCACACTGCAGTCTTAATTTGGAGTTCAAAAAGAACAAAGGCAATTTCCTACCAAGAACGAACAGCCCGATCCAATAGCTGGATGTGTTCCCTAACTGACTTTTTGTGAAGCTCCATTTTGATCCCATCATTAGTAATTGAAGCTAAAACTTCTTTTTGTAAAATCTGATTATGGTCAGCTCTCATCCAAGCATTGGCTGTTCGGTTTGGTGGCACCCTCCCATTTCCCCCAATATCCTTATTTTGTACACCTAACATTTGATTATCTAAAGCAAATGAGTCATCCAACATAGTATCTTGAGTGCCTTGCGGGCAATTCATTATCATTTAGATTAGAGCCTTTCACACATATATAAAATTTCATCACCCTTTCCACATACATTAGTTTTCCTATATACATCCATAACACAATGTCTATATTCGATATCAACTGGGATATAGGTACCTTCACATACCTCCATTAAATTGGTTTTCTATAAGAGGACCCTAGACACCTGCTCATTTATTCTATTCAATCCACAATCAACACGACCTATTCATTTAGCAATTTCAACATACATAAATGACAATTCCTCCGAGAATGTCAGATTATGGATAACTGTAACCTTCACATCCTGCATCTCTCCAATACCCTCACTCAAAATAGCTGAGGATGGCCTCATCTTCATTCTGCCAATTCTGACCGCAACATTCCCTCCTTACTCTGCAAATGACCTAACCTAGTGACATAATTCAAAGATTTCCCATCTAATTATCGATCATCAAATTCATCCACTATTTTTTTTATAAATGCATGAAGCTTCCTCTTTATCTGGACATAATTGCTTTTGCTAGCAGATCTAACCTTAACTGTCTTCTTCAAACTTCTCGAACCAACACCCGACCTCTTTATATCAGCATCACCATCATCAGTTGAAACATTGTTTCCACTCTTGTCGACAAAGAAGAGAGAAAAGAGAGGGAAAAAACCACTCACTTTATCTATTTATTATTAATTAAAAAATATATTTATTGACCTTAAAAAATTCACACCTATAGAGTTTCATCTTAAGTAAAATGTTCCTCAGGAGCGGCAAACCGCTTCGAATGTAACAATCCAATGCGATTCCCGAGTAACGGGTCCCACCTTGGTCAGCATCAGCCCGCTGAACTGCAATCTCCTCACTTACCAAAAAAAATAAAAATAAAAAAGTAATCCTCGATGCCAGCAGATCTTTCCAGCTGGAAGATCGAACGGCCAAATTTCATGTACCTGTTCGCCTTGCTGCACCGTCTCCCTCTCATCATTTCTTGCTTTACACAGAGAAGCAGAATTTTTATTTATTAAAAAAAAAAGAGAGAGGAAAAAAAAAAAAAAAAAAAAAAAAAAGGTCTTTTTTATTCTCATGTCTGCCTTTTCTTTGCCTAATCCCTCTTATTCTCTTATATTTCTCACAATTATTGAGTGCCTCTTCCGATGGCAGATGGCAAACAGTAGCTATGGAGGAGGCGTGGCAGGTCAAATGCAGCTCCGGCTGGCCGGTGCGGCCGGCGCTGCCGGCGTCGGTGGCCTCGTCCAATCAGGTTTGTCGGTGTTTCGATTTGGTTTTACCGGTTTTGCTTGTTTATTCCTTCTTCATGGTTGGCTTGAAATTTTCGTTATTTAGTGTGAATGAATGGAGGCCATGGTGGGGTGGCTTAGCTTGTAAGGAATGGTTGATGCAGCAAGTGAAATGACAAAAAGAGATGTTGTTTCTGGTTCTGCTCGCTTAGTTTGGGAACAAGGGTGCCATTGTTTTGAAGGTGGGGGGTAATGCGGTACCTATGTGGATGGGTGAGGAGGATGATCGTTATATTGCTGGTGACGAGTGTATTTGGCTGCTCTGTGATGAAGGAGTTTCTCTGTCTCGGGCTGTAGATGGTGTAAATGGAACTTCTGCAATATATGTATAGGTCATTGCGTAGTGTGCTTGGAGGGTACCTTGAAATCTTTTAAATTTTTTTCTGTGCAATGTTATTTATGCTTTAGGTATTGGAAATGACATTGAAGATTAATTATTCTCCCACCCGGGGCACAGGAACCTACCTAAACCCGTGTTTGGTCGAGCAGATTACTTACGCAGCTTTGATAAACCTATATTGCTTGTGCAGCCAGCAATCTTGGTTGACAAAGGTTATGGTTGGTTTCACTGCTGATTTCCTGATATTAAAATGGAAGTGAAAGTGGGCTTGGCAATGGAATAGGTACCAGGATGCTCTGGAGATTGATTGATTGAAGTATTCGGAAGAACTTAGGGAGTGGAGGTAAATTTACTGTAGCATGGCCAGGGACTTATAATTTGATTGATTTCAGATGATTTATTTTGGGCTGGAGTCAATGAGAATGCTGCTGGTGTCCATTGGCCGGAATCAAGATCCTACTTGTGTTGCTCGTAAGAAAAATTCTGCATTACTGGTTCTATGTTTGATGATGATCATTGCAACTAATTGTGATTCATCCATGAAGTAATGTTGTTACATTGAATATTTTCATGAATTGTATGGAACTAGCGGGTTACAGAACTAATGCCACTTATTCCCTGTTACAACTTATATTTTGGCCTAGATGTAGACGAGTCAATCCACGTATAGTCCTGCAGCAGGTAAAAGTGACTAGAATGAGTCATGTAATAATTACTTAATTTATTTTAGGCTTCAGTGGATTGCTTTGTACAGATCTCAAACAGAATGGATGACTTACTCTCATTTTTGGCCGACTAGAAAGGGTGGATTGAGATTACGTTGGTTTGGAAAACAACTAATGATAGATTTTGTTCTGTTTCACATGGAAAACTTTCTTTCATGACTAGAGATGTTTATTCAAAACTATTGGTGAATAATATTTGTCATAGAAAATCACTTTAATTGGGCATGAATTTCAATGCATATTTAGATTGAAATTTTTTAAAATTTAATTCAGGGATATCTGGACTCCAATTCAACAAATTTATGGTCAAACTGAATGTCTCAATGAGACAAACGCAATCATACCAAAAGTGGTTCAATCTAAGCTTGAATGAGCTCATACTAAATACTTGAAGCATAATTAAAAATTTCATAACATCAATTAGATGTCCAAATGATTTTCGAATCTTGAAAGCTTACACTCAAATCAAGTGTCTTGATGAGTATGAATCAAATGAGTCAAGATCGCTTAATTCTGACATTATAAAGACACTTAAATGTTTAATGAATGATTTATGATTGGATTTTCTCTATATTTATGAGGCATGACACTCTAAAAAAACTATGAACAAAGCCCCACTCTTTGCATGAGGAGGGCTGGGAGCTAGATCTTGATCCTTGGCATGAGATTTAAAAGAACTCCACTCAAGCACTACTGTCGGGCCATCATCCAACTATCTTGTTGGACCACCGCCCAATCGCCACTGTCAAAATATTGTCCAACCATCGTTGCCTGGCTAGGTCCTCTTACCACTATATTCTGAGTATATAATCTTATAAACTAGTAAAGCCGCATTTCCTCTTTAGTTAACGTGAAATTTCTCTAGGCTCTTCTCTATGAAGAAGACATTGCTCTTCGTCCATTTCCGTTCATCGGAGAAAGAACTTTTTCTGGTGTTCGATTTGGCTTGCTTAGGTCGAGTGAGTAGAAATTTTATTCTGGAAACACGTTTGACTTAGGTTTGGCTTGTTAGGATTCTTTTGTCCATGGGCGAGAAACTTGTTGAATCTAACTCGGATAAGGTTTGAAAACACACTCTTGATTTCTTTTTTGCAAAGCACCACGTGATTGGGTTCGTTCAAATTCAATTGAGAATGGAGGACATGTTTTGTTGTTCATATGTCAAGGGATGGTAAGGTTTTCCGCTTTGTATCGAATTAAGTAGGGGACTTGCTTGTGTGAAACATATATAGATTTTCGTTTGCGAATATAGTAGGTGCACAATTGAGCAAGCAATATTCTTTCTATGTAGTATGAACACATTTTCTTTTGATTCAGTGATATTGAGTTGGTGTAAGTGTACCCCACAAGATTGAAAAGAAAAGAATCTGGTTCACTGCCTTTCTTCATTCATGTAAGATAGTTGATCTAGAGAGAGAGAGAGAGTGATAGAGAGAATCTAAAAGAGACAAGAACTTAAAAACCATGAAGAGCATAAAAGATAGAGGGTGAGAGAGACTCATGGGAAAGAATATAGAATTTCTTCTCCTAGTAGTTGATGATGACCATCTCCTTCTTAGTGAGGCCATTTAGGTTATCAGAAATGTCTTCCATGATTTCGCTCATCTTAGCAAGGGTATGGTTGGAGTCGTGGTTGGAGAAGATGCTGTTGGGCTTGTTGGGATCAATGGCTATACTAGATATATGAGGTGTGGTCAGCTTAAAATCTAAAATATTAATAACATACGATTTAAACATTAAAAAAATGGGTCAGGCTCGTGGGGTCACGGGTTCTAAGTGCTCCTATTATGGATCCGCTGATACCTAGACGTTTCCATAATATTTATAGGTTAGTTAAGTAGGGAATGAATCATTCGAAGGGCAGGCTCCAAAAATATTTAATGTGTACATTGGACATTTAATTTAGAGAAAGAATACGATAAAATTCTAAGGGAAATGCTCTGGAGACTTCTAGAAAATGAAGTAGTTAATAATGCTTATAATGAAGTCATTAAGGATGCGCATACAGGAGTTGCACCTTGTGTTTAAACACAAGGTGGGTTGACCAAGTATTTGCCTATTTCATTTGGATTACATCAAGGATTACCTTTAAGCCCATATATTTTTGCTTTTTTCATGGATGTTCTTACTAGACATTTGCAAGAGGATGTACCTTTGTGTGCCTTTTGTTAATGATATTCTTTTTATTAAGATTAGAGAGGGACTTACAGAAAAATTTGAATTACGGAGGTCAACCTTAGAGTCTTAAGATTTTTTGTTTTATTAGAGCTAAAACTGAATGCATAAAGTGTAATTTCAGTAGTAATAAATCTAGTGGTGGGATTGTGACATTGGGTGATCAAGTCATTTAAAAGAGTGCACGTTTTAGATATCTCGGGTCTATTACTCAGAGCGATGGTGAAATAGCTAAGTATATTATTAGTAGAATTCAAGTTGGATGGTTGAAGTGGAGGAATGCATCAAGTCTGCTGTGTGATAGAAAAGTACCCCTCAAACTTAAAGGGAAAATTTTATAAGAGCATGGTGAAACTTGCAATGCTTTATGAAACAAAATGTTGGCCTGTAAAAGAGAAACATAAGATTAAGTGTTGCAGAGATGGGGATGCTTAGGTAGATGAGTGGCTTTGCACTTAGAGAAGGAATACAAAATGATTATATACGTGGCAAGGTTGGAACAACTCCAGTGGTAGAGAAGATTAAAGAGAGTCGCCTTAAATGATTTGGTCACATAAAACATTTGCCTTCCGATGACCCTGCAAGGAAAGTAGATGTATTAGAGCTGGCTTATGTTAAGAAAGGAGAGGTAGACCTAAAAAGATTTGGTTGAAAAGTATTAAAAAGGGCATTTTTTGTTGTTAGATTTAAATTAGAATTTGAATCTTAATAGGACACAGTGGAGAAAAAAGATTCATGTAGCCGACCCCATGTAATGGGAAAAATGCTTGTTGTTGTTGTTATTTGTTGGGCATTTTGTGGGGGTAGGGGTAGAGAGAGATACGGTTTTGAAATTAGTGCCTCTAGAACTCAAGTTTTTAAAACTACTTGGCTGAAGTGTAAGATGACTAAAATGAAGAAAGAGCCTGGCTTTGAGGTTAAGTTTGCGGAATTTTTATTTATTTTAAACTTAGTATTTATATCTCAAAATTGAGCTCCTCTATGTCAGGCTGCTTCTACTCATGTTTAGCGCAGTTGGGTGAGGAATAACAATATAAGAAAGAAAAATACAGAATTGCTTGCCATACCTAAAACACCCTCATAGTTAACTTTAGGCATCAGCTTTTTTACTACATTTTCCATTACTTTTTTTAACTCAAGGACCATTTGAGATCACTTACACAGTGTTAATGGACTAAAGTGGAGGGAGGTGACAATTTGAGACCAAATTGCTCACATTCAAATTGCCATGGGATTATTTTAAACTTTTTGTCTTAAAGTTTTCAAAAACATTCAAATAATATGTGGTTTTGTAGTTTGTGAAACAATTACTGGTGCTCCTGATTTCTAATTTGATCGTCACTGTATGGGGAGCTAATGGCTGATTTCAGTATATATATTTGTCAATTATGAGCGGTGTACTTTTTCTTGGTATGGCTTACGATGCACTTCTATTATATCCTAATTCAAGCATTACATATTTTATTGTTTTTTTTAATCTTATTTTAAAATCGTTATTGTAGGTTTAGATAATTTTGATATATATATATTTTTCAGATTAATATGAACGCACAACAATTTCATCATCCCTCAGTGATGCAAGTTACTAATCTGCGGGGCAGTCAAATGTTACAAGAGCCAGTGCTTCCGTATTCTTTTAACGCAGATTTGAGCAAATCTGGTAACTCGGAGGCCGCCAATTCATTTCTTGCTCTTTTGTCCGGTAATTCAAATCATTTATCAGGTGAACTTTTGCACTCTCCTATTCCAAGGTCAGAGCTGGCCAAGCTTCCTGTTCCTAACGGTGATGCCTTGGGACAGTCTACAAGTCTCAGTTTCTCAGCAAATTGCATTTCACCCTTATCAAAATTCCATTGCAATGATTCTATCTTTAATGGAGATCTTTCTTCTTTTATTGCATCTCGGCCGGTATTCTCAAGTAACTCCAAAGCCTCCGATATGGATAAAGTCCTTCAACCACCCTGTTCTCATTCTCATATTTTAGGTCCCAAAATTGCTATCAGACGCTCTTCTGAAGATATCACTAGAGGCACAGGAGTGTCCTCAAAGAGATGTGGCTCACCTCCTCTAAATAGCTATGGCATTCTACATCAGAATAACCAGACATCTCAAAATTCGCCATCAGATGCTAATGTTCATGGCCTTATTCCTCCCTCAAGCTTTTTTATAGGACGTCCACGCGTGTTGTGCATGAATACTAGTAAGTGCATTCCTTAACATTCATAATTCTTATTCCTTATGGTCTGTTTCATGACATATTGGGTTTGGTGCGGAGGCTATTGCTTGCTGCTAAAACTGTTGCATCACCGGACGCACACGGGCATGTCCCAGGAATCCGCATGCTGTACAATGGAGCAGGTCTTTACAGCTGTTTGAAACAAACACTTAGGGCTTGTTTGAAACAGCTTCATTATTGCTTTTTGTTATTATGGAAGTAAAAAATTATTTTATAAACTTTTTGGCTGCACAATTATCTTGAAAACGCTTTTTTTATAAAAAAGCTCCGGTCTGATGCATTTTCAAAAGCTATTCTCTAACTGCTTTTCCTGACGTCTTTCTTCTGATCAAAGAAAAAGTCCAAAGTACCCACGCTTTATTCTTCTTTCGATCACATCTCCCAATCCCAGCTTGTCCTGCACATGTCTCCTCTACGACTCCTAATGACATTATGGTTTTGTTGGGGACAGCTTCTTACAGCTTTTTAAAGCTGTTTTTAGCAAAAAAAATTTCTGATTTATAAATTTTTGTACTAAAAATTTGTTTTAAAAAATAGTAAGAAAGCTGTCTCAAAAGATGCCTATATTATATATTTTTAAGCTTTTTTGGATCACTTTTTTATTTTATACTATGCTTTGAGTATCCAACACTTTACTATTATTTATATTTTATGAACTTATCATTTGGCACATAAAGAATGTAGTTGAGTAGATGAGGTCATCACATATCATAAAATGATAACCAGCACAACGTAGGCCCTTGACATTGTTCGATCAATAGAGATCACTGTGATAGCTAAAAAATAAAAAAATAAAAAGATTAAAGTAATTCAAATAATGCGGGTCGAATGTCATATTAGACAAAGACAAGCATCAAAAGAATCACCAAATGATAATTTTGAATGTTTAAAATTATTTGTATAAAGATTAAAATAGAAATTATGCTTATTAACTTTTATAAAATATGGGTAATTTAGGTTTTATGCTCAAATAGCAACAGTTGCTAGTTTAACCACATAAATAATAAACTATTTCTTAGTTTCAAACAACACAAAACAAACAGGCTATTTAAACAACATTTTCTAACTTTAGTTGCAGTAAACTCCACTTTCTCTACATAAACTTTCAAACTGAATTTCCCAACATCCATGGCCGTGCCAAACAAAGCTTAGTCCCTACTCAATTACACTTTTCTGACATTGTTATGACTAGTTTGGTAATATAAATGAATTCTTATTTCTGTTGAAGTTAAACTTATGAAAACCATTATGACTAGGAGTTGCCATTTTTTTATTGATGTTTGATAGCTGGAGAGCTCTTTCTTAATGAAATGGGACTACTAGGAATTTTGTGCTCTTGTCATTGTTTGCCTATGTCCGTGGCAAAATTTTGTCAGGTAACGATATTTACTTGAAACATTCTGATTTGCATTCCACACTCAATCACCTGGGAAGGTATGCAGAGCATATTCCTAATGCATTTTTCTTTCAGCATTCCGGCTTGTCTTCATCAAACCCGAGTGAGGTTGTAAGGATGGAAAGTGGCATGACTCTTGCACAATGGTGCAAAATGTGCTTTGGGGTATGGTTTTTCTAATGATTTTTATTTTTGTTTCTGAATTATCTTTATTTGAAAAAATGTTGTGCTAATTCTAGTTTTTGACTCAATTATTAATTAGTGTTTTCGATAAATTATTATTATTTGTATCTCAATATCATTTATTTTTGCCGAGAGTTGGAGATTTGAACTGCACTAAAGGCAAAATATTGTACTCAATTTTTTTCTTGTTTTGAGCTAATTACATCCGATTGCGAGGCATCTATAGAGATAAAATTTATATGATTTTGAATATGTAACGATCTACTGCTAAATAACAATCCTAGTGAATAATTTGTAAGGAAAACTTTGATTAGCACTAGTAGTGCTATGTTTATTGCCAACCTTTCCATCAATAATTAAATAACAAACATGAGCCTTTCAATTGTGCTGGATGAAATACCTTAATGCAAGGAAATGCAATGATCTATGAGGCATGGACATTTTTAAATGCCTTCCATGTTCGTGTTAGATACATGTTGGATATGAACATAGCTCCAATATGGCCCGACATGTGTCTGACACTTCATAAATTGTGCCAAAATTTTTTATTGTGGAATTGGACATATAAAAGGCCTAACTAAAAAATGAAACATGTAAATGAATTAATACTTGTATTTCTTACTTTCAGTAGTTGCCCTAGCCATCTGTAATGTCTCGCATCTCAGCCCTTTCTTAGAAGTTTTCTTGTCTCTTTGCCTCGCATCTCAGCTTCTTCATTCAAGCTATCTTTCCTCTCCGCCCTTTAGTCAAAGATGACTCGTGATCATGCACACACTTACTGCAAAGATGTCTCATGTTCATGCATACTTCTCTTCAAATCCGTTCATACCCTAGTGCCCCGATGATGTAGGCAAAGGGGGGTCAAAATATTTTGGGTTTTAATTTTGTGGTGAGCTTCTAAAATCAGCTCATTAATGTTGAACATCTTCTTCTTTCCAGCTCATTATTACTTGTAGTTTATCTCCTTTTCAGCTCATAATTCCTGTCCAAAAGTATTCCCCCTTTATTTGGTTCATTCCCCCTTCATTGTGGCTCCTTGGTTTCTCCTCCTTGGCTCCTTCCCGTGGCTTGTCCTTTCCCCCTCTCCGTGTCTCTTCGGTTTTCCCTGCCTGGTTGCCTGTTCCGGTTCCCCTTGGCTGCTGTTCCGGTTCCCCTTGGCTGCCCATTCCTTCCCCCTTGGATGCCTGTTCTGATTCCCTATGTTGCCTCTTCGGTTCCTCCCCTAGCTGCCTGTCCTGTGGCTGCCTTTTCCTGTACCCAGTGTTGCCTTTTCCGGTTTTATGTGTGGCTGTTTGGGTGCTATTATGGACTGATTTTTGGCCCCCTTTGTGGCTCTTTGGGTGCTGTTCCTAAGCAGCCCCTTGGCCTTCTATTTCTCCTATTTTTATGGGTGTAATTGAGGATGTTTTGGCTGTTTAGCTACCTTTTATCTCCTATATATATTAAATGATTTGTAATAAAAAAGTGTGTTATGGATGATTTTTGGATCTAAAAACCTGAGAAGGGTTTTTCTTCCTTCTTTGTAAAAGCTTGCGAGCTTGTTCGGTGCTTCCTCTCCCTCTAGGAAAGCTTGTGAGCTTGTCCTCTCTTCGTCTTGGACTTCTTACCTATTTCTTCTCTCCGCAAGTTTGACGCCACCTGTATCTTTCGTGTCAATCAAAGAAGAGCTCCTTTAGGTGTTGTTTATGTTTGTTTTATTTTAAAAATTTTGTAAGCGTCGTTTATAATATGAAAATTGTATCTTATAGAGTTTAATTGGAGTATTCTATGTATTTTCTTATAGCCTAGGAAATCTTTTATTATATGCTTGCAAAAGTTGAGGTCTCCCTTTATTTTTGCTTGCATCACCCAACCAACCAATTATGCCCTCGCAAGAAAGTTATATAATTAGTTCATTGAATAATTGTTGACAATTAATTAGATGTACATATATAATTAGTCTATGACTCTATTGGATGGATTCTCTTGTATTTTTTTTGGAACATGATGCCATGATTTGATATAAGTTATTTGATCTGTCATTAATCATTTCATTCAAGATTTTATGAAGTTATATGATGTGATGTGAAGGTATAATGCTTGCCCTCTTATGTTTTCTTCATATTCGTCATAATACAAGAGGCATCTGGTTAATTCATTTCACATTCATAAAAAAAGAATTGTTTAGTTTTAGCCTTTATATAAACTAAATTAATGGTCATTAATTCCATTCACATTCATCATTTGATTATATTTGTTTGTGTTCTCATGAAATTCATGGTTATTTTGCATATTCTTAAGTTCCTCTTATTGTTTCATAGGATAATGACTTCTTACTTGGGCACTAATATATTGGTAATAACCCCATAGAGAATGAGGCAAAAACCTTTATGGGTTTATGTTACCAGATTAGATGAAGTAGGAGCAATTGAAGTGGAAGGCAATGTAGATTTCCAATATCATTTTTGACAAAAAGTTCAACTGAATGAAGTATAGATAAATGAAAATTGGAAGTGTTTGTCCAATCAATTCCTCTCTTGGAGTTTGGTGGCTGAGGAAACATTCCTTTGGTAAGATTTTTTGTTTTCAAACTTTTTCTACCGTTGGTTATGTTTTATTTCATCTCCCATACTTTTACTACAAGCCCTCCAAGCTTTCATGGCCAAAATCCATATCCTATTTTGAAAAAAAAAATCTAAGATTAGAGAACTTGGCCAAAACTAAGGCTTAATTGACCTAGTTTGGGTTTTGCTGCCACTTGACCATCCTAAAACCCTTGAAATTTTGCATCCAACTCCAGATCACATATTCAAATTTATTTATACTTCCTTCAAGTGGTTTGAAGCCATTTGGACCCCATATTTGCAAAACCTAATTTGCTCAATCCCACTTGCGTGATCTCTGCCAAGTAGAGTTTACATATTTCATCGATCCTATTCGACTTATCCACTAGCCAAGTTTCCTTAAATTCATTCATGGAGTTATATAGAGTTACTTTTTTGAATGGTTTATTTGTATAATGAAGAGATTGTACAATGAAAGCTATAACAATATGAAGAAATTTTTGATAATTATGAGATAATAAAGAATAAACATAAAATATGAATAACATAATTAGTCATTCTTCTCCAATATGCTATGCAAAATTATTTATTCGAAAACTCCACTCTCATCCACCATGTGAAGCAACATCATGTGCGTCATTTCAATGTGCACTTACTCAACAAGTGCCCGTTGAGTCCCTCCCAATATTCATACCAACAATAAAGATCATAACTCTGCAAAGCAGAATTCTTCAAATTAGAGTAGAGTTCTTGTAGAACTAATGTGGCATCATAAGTTGTTGGATCTTAATGAATTTTCAATTTCACAACCATTATTAGATATATGGCCACCTTCATATGAAAATATCAAGAATATTTTAAATATTATTAAATAATTATCTGTCATATTTATTGGCTGTGATGTAATTGTTATTATTTATGAGTTTATTGATGTATCAAGATAATTACTGTCGTATTGTTGTATATGTTAACTTAATTATATGTTTGGACCATGTTTTTGTAATTTAAGTTAAATGAGGGCTATAAAAACATTTCACGAGTCTTTGATACTGTAAGGTTGCATTATAATGTGCCATGGCCTGGTACAAGAGCTTAAGAGTATTGAGGTGACGACAGATTGTTGAACTCAGTTTTAAAATTTTATTTACTAATATTAATTAATATCTAATAAATTTTTTATGCATCTTCTACTATTAATAGTTTTCAACATATGACGAGCCACTAAATTATCAAAATTCACTTGTCTAGAATAATATCAAACCTGAAAGACTGTATAAAATTGTATTGAATGATGTAATGAAGAATGTTAATTTGAATGAAAATTTGAAATCTTTGTCCAAAAAATTCCTCTATTGGTGTGGCCGATAATCACTTTGGTGAGGGTTTTTTAATTTTGAAACTTATTTTTCTAATGTAGTATTTATTAAGCTTGACTTTAATCTTCCCCTAAAATTTTCCTAATATCACATGGCTGTTTCCTTTCTTTTCCTTTGAGAAAAGTGAAATATGTGCTTAACTTACAAAGGTCAGCTTATAACAGGCTAATCACATTTCATCTCAGTTTCGCTCTCTTTTGAACCATCTGAATCACTTAAAATTCAGCAAAATCTAGATATAATCTACAAGTGATTTCAAGTCCAAAAGCCTTCCTATTTGAAAATTCAGGTTGTTCTAAGTTAGCTTATATGCTGTCGGCCTAGACTAGGCTTGTTCTGAGTGGCATGACTCTTGCAACAGAAGACCTTGAAAATTCCACTCAACCCTAGATCACTTCTTTAAATGTTCTTTCACCATCTCCAAGTCTTTGAAAGTCTATCCATATGTTCCTCGTTTTGTTAATCCTAGCCTCCCGAAAATGCACAAGCACACTCTTGGCCAAATAGTGTTTATCATGCTTAGCCAAACCTAGCCCTTCCTACACCAATCCACATCTCTTCAAACTCAAAGCTAGGGTTATTAAGGTATATTTGAACACACTTACAACAACTATAAGCCCTTGGAAGTATTTAATTCGAATGCTCCATCATCATGTCTCAAACAAAACTATTTATTTTTGATTTTTTAAATAAATAATATATCTTTGAACTTTTCTAGTATCATTGCTCGTACAGTTTCCCTCTTGATCTATGTTTGATGCTTAGGGTACTGTTGTAAACTATCGTGAAGTTTGTTTTTTGTCACTTGCTAGTAGTAAAACAAGATCAGCAATAACGATTTTGCTTTCAAGAAACTTTGTTGTAACTGACCAATGAGGTCGGGGAAAAAATTGTTTCACTCGATTGGTTATTGGTCCCCCCTCTTTCTCTCTAGACAAGCATATGAGTATGCGTTCATTCTACTCTGCTTTTCTTGTTGTAATAACCTTGAAAATCTTGATTATCGATCTTGGGTGGTCACAATCCAGTTTGAAGTTTGTGGAACAATCTTGTAATGTTTCACTGGTGCTTCTAGAATCGGGCTTCAGGTGATCTCAGAGGATCGGAACAGCCAAAAGATTCCTCAGTGGAACGGTCTTCTTTTGGATCTAAATATCCTGAAACAATCAACTCAGAGGCATTTGATGGGCTAGGAAGATCCGGAGAGCTTAGGAAGAATCTATATGCTCATCATCCTAATTTGGTGGGACATGCTTCTATGGAAAATCCAGTGAAAAATGATTTGAATTACGATCATGAAAAGAGAAACTTAGTGGTCAATGGTCTTCATCGAACAGGCCTTACGGATTTAGCACGAGTTTACATGCCAGTGATATCCGAGAGCAATAATTTACATTCCATAAAGGCGACTCCCGAATTCGTGAACATGAATACGCGACATTCAACTCCAAATGGACAAGTGCAAAATGTTGTTTCTCAACTATTATCTAATAATCTTAAATTCAGACCGAACTCTGGAAAAACATCTGTTTCCTACGCATCCGGAGGGCCTAAGAAAATTTTCCGCCATGACAAGAACGTTAGTACCCGACCTAACACATCAAATGAAACATTTGTTGTAGTTGGGGATGGATCTGATCTGAGGCTGGGGCAACCAACTCAGCATAAGCATTCTTCTTTATGTTCCTTTTCAACGGCAATGAATTTACCATTACAGGAAGCATGCAGGTCCCCAAAGGTCCAGCAACAAAACCAACCATCTGATAAAAGTAATTTGCCTGGTATTATGCAATCTTTTTTCTTCTCAAAGATTAGCTTAAACAATTTGCCTAGTTTTTCAACTTTGTAGATTGTTCTTTTAACACTTGCAAATGGGGACTTCCATCTACCTTTTTGCAGTTGATTGTGCCAGGGAAGTAAAGAGAGCAAGGCTGAATCAGCCATATACTCCTGTAGAAGGATCATCCTCAGATAGAAGACCGGCACATATTGAATGTCGAACTGCCACTTGTCTACACAACTCTGAGTCAGAAGACCTTCTGACCTATGCTAATAAGGATTCATCAATCTCATTGTTTCTCTCACACCTAAGTGGAGGAACTGGCTTAGTTGACACTTCTAGCAAAGCTCATGATGGAATAAGTAATATGACGGGTTCTATTCATTATGATTTGCTATCTTCTAGAGAAAACATTTCTCTATGTGCTAGAAATGAAGTTGGTGAAGCTGGTATGGTATCTTCGTTCAATGAGTTCGATAATTTTAATGATAAAGGAAACCCTTCGAATGTTATCACTGATTGTAGCAATATGGTGGGGAATAATGGTGCAAATAGTAAGCAGATTGAAGATAGAAGTAGTTCACCTTTTATTAGTGGGAAATGCCTTCACCCTTGTCCTGTGGGCATGGGAAAGTCGTCTTTGTTTTCTAGTCAGCTACAAAGAAGAATACACAAGGGACCTGATGCCAAGAACTCAAATAAACAGGGAAACTTGTATATCCTTGAAAATGGGTGTCATCATAAGCGTTTTGTTCATGGTTCTGAGATTCAAGCCTCCCATTGGACAGGTTTATGTTGTCCAGATTCAAAATCCCCAATAACTCGGGCATCTTCTAACTCCAATTATATTTCAGAAACAAGTTGCTTGTCATGTAAATATGACAAAAATTTTTCAGACCAATTGATAAATGGAGATATAAGGCTATTGACTTCTGCAAGGCATGAAAACTTGATGGCTAAACACGAACCATTAAGCAGATCATTTAAGATGAAACAACATGGAAAACTTTGCTGTCTCTCACCTATGGAACCCCACCGGAATTCATGCGCAAATGACTTGGTGGAACGGAAGGATATAACTTATTGTAACATTCATCAGAATGCGTCAGACTTGCATTCATTGCCTAGTTGTTACTGTAATAATCATGGGGCTTCGCTTTGCAAATGTGGTTCTGCGGGTGCATCTCTTATTCTTTTCACGTTATATCAATTGCTTAGAAATATATAAAAGCCTTGATTATCATGATTTCTTTATTTGTGAATGCCATAATTATACTTTTCTCATCATTCTTATTCATTTGTCCTGTTTGTTTTTGTGCAGCTTCATACAAATACTGCAATTGTGCAGCTTCAACCCAAAGCACCACTCCATGTTCAACGTTTTCATCTTATCATGTTTGTGGTACTGATAGCCATATTTGCTTTAGGTGAAAATAACATGTCTCTTTGCTATTAAATTGTTCAACTTTAATTGAAATTTCACTCTTTAAAATACCATTTTTTTGTTATTTTATTACCAAGGTGCGTTAATTTGTTTCTAATCCTCTTTGAAAATTATTTTCATGCTTTTTCTATGTGGGGCTGTAGCCGCTCTCGAACTGTAGCTATACTGCTGCTATTCGGATGTGCTATATCCAATTTTTGGGTTTGGCTGTTAAGCTTATTCCTGCTGGTATTGTTATAGGCACTACTACGTGTCATCTTTGTGGGGATTATTATGCTAGCTGTTGTACTTAAAATGAGTTTCCTTATGGCTATCCTGCATCTTTCAATGAATTTACATGAACTGGTTCAATTATAGGGTTTGAAGTTAAAATTTTATTTGCTTATCTAGCCAAGACTTGAAATTGGATTGGGCTGATACTTTGTCAGCCCTTATCTATAAATTTAGGGATGAGAAGTCTATAAATAAATGTTTTGAAGCATATAACTTATCATCTTTGATTGAATAAAAACTTATTCTATTTGTTTTTTGTGTGCAAGTTGGATATATGATTCCTTTGAACACAATACAAATGCAAATACTGATTTTCGAAGAAGTTGTCTCCTTAAATGGTTGTGCGGTCTTGATTTCTTATTTTGATAATTTCTTTCATTACTTTTATTGAGCTTGCTAATGTCTTGTTAATATTCTTGAATTTGTTTAAATTAATAAAATTTGGAATCTAATAATCTATATTACTATTTAAAAAGTGACATACGATTTTGTTAAGGTGAGGTATACATTGGAAGGCATGAGTCAAAATAAGCCATCATTCTAAGAATCAGATTCCTTTAAATAAGCCATTAATTTAGGAATAATTTACATTTGTTAATGTTTCCTATATAATGTATCCATCGCCTAGATTATAAATGATTTACCTTGAGCTACATAAGAAATTATGAAGCAAAGATGATAATTTCTCTTATAGTATCGGAGTGGGTTTCTCTTGAGAACTTATAAGATTCTGCCTTGGCGAAGAAAAACTTATCTTTGCTTTCCATTGCAAAGGTTCTATGCTAACAATCTGTGGGCTCCAAAAATTCTTGCCCCGGCCTCTCCGCGTCTCTTTTGTTGACGGAGGGAGTGTTTTAACGAGTTTAGGTTTTGGGGTAGATTTTCAGAAGACATATTAGATTTTTAGATAAGATACTACTCAAATTTTGCCCTAATTTTGCAAGGACTTTATGATATGAGTTCTGGTTTTCCATAGACGAGTTCCCTGTGGTTAATTACTCCTCCCGATAATGAGATAGAACTTTTGATTAAGGCTAGTCGTTAAATAGGTCACAATAATTAGGTAGCATATAGTAGCAACAATTTTAGGGTTTGAATTTTGAAGTTTATGATTTAAAATTTATCACCATAAACTTAAAGCGGGTGATGGGGGAATGACAATAATTTCGTCATCTCGGGTTGTCAAGGTCACTGGTCTACTTAGTCAGAGGAGGTAGTCGACCTGTCCTGATAGAAGGAACCTTGTTGACATCCATGGATTCCTTTGTCCAAGAATACCTTGTAGATCTGGGGTAGATGTTTGCCTAAGTTGGTGAATTTAAGTCAACTTTAGCTAACAGAGGACTTCATATCTTATCAAGCACATTACATTATTCATTACTCCAGGAGCTTTTAACCATTAGGGAACATACGGGCTTTGACTGTGACCGTACTATAGTGGTGCCATTTTGCGGCAGAACCATCCAATCAGAGGGTACATGTCATGTCCCTGTTGGCGTGAAATCAGTTGAGAATGAATTGTAGTAATACATTAAACAAGATATCTGCTATTTGTGAGTTGAAGTTATTTTTCAATTCATTATCCTTGTCAAATCGTTGCGAAGTGTGAATGGATTTTAGTTTTAAGTTTTTGGTGATTAAATTTTCATTTAAATGTTTAGAATTTGATAGATATTAGATTTTGAAATTTTAATAGGCTTTGAGAATTGACCCTTCCGGTTGAGATTTACATTCAAAGCAACCATTATCGAGGTAATTTTATTATTACTTTAAATATATTTGTATTTTGCATTGGAGTGAGTATTTTGAAAGGTAAGGTCCCTTCCAGTTGAGATTTTCTGTCAACATGGCTATTATCGAGGTGATTTTGCAATCATTTTAAACAAATCTGCTAAGCATTCTCAAATCTCGCATTTAGGAGCTTGACATAAAGATCGTAGCACATGCAAAATATATTTTAGCGTATAGATCGGTGCTATTGTCGGGTGTTTGAACACTTTTAGCGAATATGCAAATCATTTTTAGATCTCGTATTTAGGAGTTTGATGTAAAGATCACAGCACATGCAGAATCTAATATTGCTTATTGACGACGGCCTAAGACTCTTTAATGGGAAGGGATATAGAACTAGCTCTCTTAGCGAGAATACATTGTCTATGGCTTCTGGGATTGACAATATCAAAATGTTTCCACCTTAGTTCTTTCGTTGATTGGCCTTTTCAGAGTAATTATCTTTCATTCATTATTCCCCTCTTAATATCTGGATTTTATAATTATGTGGTATCACTCCATTAACCATGATTTCACTTTTCAATTTAAGAATCTTATCCTTCAGCTCTTGAGCCTTTGCATCCATGCTCATGTGATTGTATGCTTTTTTCATTGTGGCGAGGATGATATTATCAGGCTTACATTTATTTTCTGTCATGAGCAAGGACATTTTTTTCATTACATCTATATCTCTAGCTTGCCCATATGCATTTATTACCCTATTAAAGGAGGGAGTATCCAGAACAACACTAGTTTAGTGTTTTCTATTTCTCTAATGAAGAAAGGAACCTTCTCTACAAGCTTTGCTTTGCGTATCCACTAACAAGTGCACCGTAAGTAATGGAGTTTGGTTTGATTCCTTGAGTTTTTATTAACTTAAAATAATACTCCATCTTATCAACTTTTTCTGCTCTCCCAAAATGTTCAATCAATGTATTGAATGTAATTATGGGGAGAAAAATACTTTCCCTTCATTAAATTCATAACATTGTTCATTTTCTCGTACTTTCCAACCTTAGCATATGAATTAATTAAAAATTGAATATAGTCAGATCAAGTTTAATGCCCATGTGTTGAAACCCAATATACTCCTTTTCATTTCACTTATTCTTCGACCATCTCCATACATAGATATTATAGAGTTCAGTGTGAATATGTACTTTGGAGAATTAGTCCTTTGGCTTAAAAGAATAGATCCATGCTTTGGAAGTGTAGTCCTTTGGCTCATAAAAGTAGATCTAATACAAGGAAGAGTATATATGTGACTAAGAAGAGTGGATTTGTACTTGGAAGTGTTGTCCTTTGGCTTGGAAGAGGTTGTAGTTCACAAATGTGGCTGGTTTAATTATAGAGTTTGAATTCTTGGAAGAGCAGTCTTCCAAAAAAGAAGAATTATAGCGCCACCCCCAAAAATATTAAATATTTAGAATTTCTGAGTGATTTGAAACATTCATATTAAATTCCATTTTATGCTTGCTTCTTTAAGCTACTAGGTGTAGTAATTTTTTATTAATTAAAATTACACATAATTAAATTTATTACATATATATGTCTGTATGTGTTTTTAAATCATTTAAAGCGACAAATTATTGTGTGAAGGTCTTTCGTCAAAATTTCAGCAGCCTCCTGGCACTCCCTGTGAAGGGAGGTAGGGAAAGCACTTATCTTTCAATCCGTTTGGTCGGATCAAAAATACGACGTCGCGAGGGCTTCAGGACAATTGATCCCGACATAGGTCTTCGGGTCTTCAATTTGTAGTAGATTTTTTTTCCTATTCTCTCTCTCTCTCTCTCTCTCTCTTTACAAACACTCCATTGTTGAACTCATATGCTCTTAGGAAATTATTCAGAATGATTGGTTTGGTGTGCATACGAGCTTGGATGGATTAGAGGCAGATGTTAGGCAGGCCGGGCGTGGTAGCTATTTGAGTTAGAACGGTTACTGGCGATTGCACGGGTGCGGGATTGGCCGTGGTATGGAGGTCAGGATCTTTGGCGCAGAAGCGGTCTGGGGTCGGCGTGGAAGCTGTCTATGGTGTTCACGGAATGCGGGTCGGGCACACAGAAGTGCAAGAGTGCACGTTGGGCTAAGTCTTGCGACGGACGTGGGTGGGCTTCAAGTCAAACATGCAGGCACGGGAGTACAAGCTGGGTAACTCGAGCGGACAACGGGCTGGGACGGACGCCATGTCGTGCAAGTGGAAGGCAAATTGGGGTATAAGCATGAGCGAAGCATGTCGTGGGGTTGGTCTTCACATCAGGCCACACAGTTGATGTTGCCCGTGCAGGTATGCTGAGGACGAGTGTTGGCTTGAGTTTGAAGTCGCAAATGGGACTAAGCCGGATGATCTTGCTTGCGGTTTCTATCGAATGAGAGGGTGAGCTGTTCATTTGGTAGTTTTATTTCTGTGAGGGGAGTTACGTGAGGGGTGGTTCTATTGCATGCAATCGTGTCATTTGGGGAGCTAACGTTCATGATATGGGGTTGTGAGGTGGTTAGTGGGAGGGGTAATTAACAATGAGGGGTTGCGTCTATAAAGTTTAGGCTTGAGATCTAACCCCCGACATAAATATTGGGGGGGGGGAATTTAGTTAATTAAAAATTAATCTATTTCACGAGGAATGAAATCCTAGCTTAGAAGGCAGAGCTTGGGCACATTTTTCTTGAGCGTACAACGAGCTATACATGGAAGGCATTAGGTGTGTATTCTTTTTTTTTATATATCTGTCACTGGTATTATCAATAGTGTAACCTGTATTCTAGAAGATGAATAATTTCTTATTTGATTATTTTTCTTTTTAAAAAATATACTAAATCTACATATATATACTAAAAAAGTGCCTAATAAAGATAATAAAGAAAATTATTAACTAGCTTAATTCTCTCCTAAATTTTAGTAGACAGATTCATAGGAGCATTTTTTTTTTGATTATTTTTCTT